GGTGCTTAGGGGGGGACTTTAATGTGGTTAGGAAGGTTTCAGAGAAGCTTCATGGGAATAGAATCAATAGGAGTATGAAAGATTTTGATGAGTTTATTAGAGGTTGTGAGTTGGTGGACCCTCCTTTATTTAATGCAAGATTCGCATGGTCTAATCTTCGGGAAAATCGAGTATATTGTAGGTTGGATAGATTTTTATTTTCTTTGGGCTGGGAGGGGGTTTTCCCCAACGTGAGACAGGAGGCGCTGCCAAGATTGGTGTCTGATCATTGTCCTATTATGATGGAGAGTTGCCCTTTTAAGTGGGGCCCGACCCCATTTAGGTTTGAAAATGTGTGGTTGGAACATCATTTGTTCAAGGAGAGCTTTGCAGGATGGTGGAATAGTGCTAGATGTCATGGGTGGGAGGGCTTCAGATTTATGAGAAAGTTGAAGATCGTTAAAGAGCATGTGAAGATTTGGAATAGGGAGGTGTTTGGGAATTTGGAATCATCGAAACGTCAAGTTATGAGTAGAATTGAGGAGATAGATTCTTTGGAAATGCAGGGAGATGAGGTTCAGGAATTGAGAAGTGAGAGGAGGGAGTTAGGTGCGAGGTTAGAAGAGTTGTCTCTTAGAGAGCAGATTTTTGGGCACAAAAAGCAAAGGTGAGGTGGCTGAAGGAGGGGAATGTTAGTTCTAAGTTCTTTTATAGGATTGCGGATGGAAAAGAAAGAAAAAGTTTATTAAGAGGTTGGAAGTAAGGTCAGGGGTAGTGGTGGACTCAGAGGAGCAAATAGTCCAAGGGATTTTTGAGTTTTATTCAAATTTATTTTCGGAGGATGAGTTAGTCAGGCCTGGGATAGAGGGGCTAGAGTGGAAGCCTATTGATCAGGAATGTGCGACTTGGTTGGAAAGACCTTTGAGGAGTTGGAAATTAGGGAGGCAGTTTTTGAGTGTGAAAGGGACAAGGCTCCTGGACCGGATGGGTTATCCATGGCTATATTCCAAGATTGTTGGGAAGTGGTGAAGGGGGATTTGGTGAGAGTTTTTATGGAATTTTATGAGACAGGGGTGGTCAATTTATGTGCAAATGCCACATTTATCTGTTTGATTCCTAAAAGGGAAGGAGCCATTAGAATTGGGGATTTTAGACCAATTAGTTTGGTGACATCACTTTACAAGATTCTGGAGAAGGTTTTGTCAAAAAGGTTGAGGGCCCCTTTAGGGGATACAATTTCTACGACTCAGGGGGCTTTCGTGAAAGGCAGACAGATTCTAGATGTGGTTCTGGTGGCTAATGAGGTGGTCGAGGAGTGTAAGAAGGCAGGAAAGAGAGGTGTTGTGTTTAAGGCAGATTTTGAAAAAGCATACGACATGTGGATTGGAATTTTTTGGATTTTGTGATGGACAGAAAGGGGTATGGGAAGAGATGGAGGTCTTGGATTAGGGAATGTTTGGCGTCTTGCAATATGTCGATAATAGTCAATGGTAAACCTGGGCAAAGTTTTAAGGCGTCTCGAGGGTTAAGACAGGGTGATCCTTTATCCCCCTTTCTCTTCATTTTGGTAGCAGATGTGTTAGGAAGGGTGGTGGTTGAGACAGGTACACGTTGGTTAAAACAGTGCTAAGCGAAATTCCAATTTATTTCATATCTGTGTTTAAGATTCCAGTCAAGGTAGCAAAATTTATAGAGAAATTATTTAGGGATTTCCTTTGGGAAGGGAAAGATGAAGGACGGAAGGATCATTTGGTGAAGTGGGAAACGGTGTCCTTATGCAAGGAAAATGGGGGTTTGGCCATTGGTAATATAGTGGCTAGAAACACGGCTCTGCTGGGCAAGTGGTTATGGAAATTTCCCGCTGAGTGTGATTCATTATGGCATGCGGTTATTAAAAGTAAATATGGGATTCAGGTTAATGGTAGGGATTCTCAGGTGGTCTCGAGAGGTAGCGGGCGTGCTCCTTGGAAGTCCATTTCCCAGATTTATCGCGTTTGGTCCCAATTCATTTCTGTGAGGGTGGGTAATGGGGAAAAGGTCAATTTCTGGGAGGATGTTTGGGTGGGTTCCTCGTATTTGGCGGAGATCTATCCACTATTGCATAGCGTTTCTCAGGCTCGTTATGTTTCTGTTGTGTCTGTGGCGGGTTCTTTGGTGGCTCCTTTTTCTTGGAATTTTAATTTCCGCCAGAATCTTCATCATAGGGAAGTTCCGGAATTGGTATCTCTTTTGTCAAGACTTGAAAATGTTTCTTTGGTTCCATTATTGGACGATAGGTTGGTTTGGAATATCCATTCTTCGGGTTCTTTTACTTGTAAATCTTTTCTTGATAAAATTATTGATTCATCTCATGTACCTCAGGTGAAAGTGTTCATGTGGATCTTGGTTCATGGGGGCACTTTGACAAATGATTCATTGCAAAGGAGGAGATCCTTGCAATATCTTAATCCTCAATGGTGCATTATGTGTTGTAAGAGTGGAGAGTCTCTGGATCATCTCTTTTTGCACTGCCCGGTGACTAGGCAGTTGTGGCATATGGTGTTTGGTTTGGGTAATGTGGTGTGGGTGGCCCCAAAAGGATGTGCTCAAATGCTATTATTTGATTTTCAAACTTTTAGAAGGTCGAAGAGGGCTAAGGTGCTTTGGAGTGGAGTCATCTCTTCAATCTTTTGGGTCGTTTGGATGGAAAGAAATGCGCGTGTTTTTGAAGTTGTCTGGGATATAGACTATTTATGGGATAGGATGAGATATTTGGTGTCTTTTTGGGCCTCAGCGAGCTCGATATTCCGTGGGATTCCGCTTTTTTTGATTGCGGCAGACTGGGTGTCAGTTTGTACTGTGTAGTTTTAGTTTGTTTCATCTTTTTGTATTTTCTTTTGTTAAGTTTTGCTTTTTGTTTTTTGTCTTCCTTGTAGAGGATGCCTTATCCTCTTTTTTCTTGGCCTTGTGCCTTAATAAATTTGTTTGTTTGTTGCTGATCAAAAAAAAAAAAAAGAGCAAAGAACCAGAAGCGTTGAATGAAGATTGTAAGTCAAGGAGACTGTGAATCGTTGCAAACAGTGAACATGGAGAGCTGGGAAGAGAGAAGTGCGAACTGCAAATAAGATGAGATTATTGAGTTGCGAAGTGCGAAAGCAAGCCTCCGGCAGTTCGTCGAAACATGAACGGCGGCTAGGATTGTCGGACCTGCTCTGACACCATGATAAAAAAGTATGTACGAATATTATATTATTGATAATCTAAATAAGAAAAGAAGATACAACTTAAATAGCAAATCAGAAAACTCAAAGTGCCTAATTACATTAAACAAGACTCAACGACCCTCAACTAATAGAATAAATAACACAAGACTAAACTACACACTTCTCACAGAACAATAAATAAATATATATATTTATATATGTACAAGAAAAAAAAACAATTTCTCAAATTTTGACATTACAAATACATTATCTATATCGGAATTTGGAAAAATAAGTGTGTAGACACAAATTTCGAACATGAAATGTTTCAACGCGTTTCGAAGTTCATGTTACAAATGTCCACTGTTTACTTTTTTAAACCAAACAATGTTGATTATGTGAATAGTAGGTTCCTATTTCTGATCGTTAATTACACATTTTATTTAAATGAAACCTCCAATTAATGAGGAACAAAAAATTAATAGAAAATAATTTAAGGAAAAGAAATATTTTTAATGAAATTGTTGTGGATTTTAAACCCTTGAATACAAAGTACAATTCTTGGGCTTGGAACCGTTTACCTATGATCGCCATTATGCATTTGTAGCTTAAGCTATGAAGTTCTCTGGGCTTCTCCTCTTCTTTCTTGTGAAGACTTCTTTAACTCCTGATTTCTCTCTCTCTCTCTCTCTCTCTCTCTCTCTCTCTCTCTCTCTGATCTTCTAACTTATAATTTTCCGGTCCCCTCTCATATGTGCTGGTCCTCATATTTATAAAGGGCCATCTATGTGATAAGAGGCCTCATCTTCAGTTTGAATTTCAAATTGAATGACAACGCCGCTTGCATTTAGGCGTAATCATATCTGATTAATCGTCTATCTGATTAACTATCTATCTGATTTTATGAACACGTAGGGTATTTGTCTATTTGAATTTAGGCGTAATCATATCTGATTAATCATTTGGATTTCATCTTGTGTTGTGTCCTTGCTGTAGACTCTACAGGTGTCATCTTTCGTAGGCCCCACATGTTTGAATATCTTGAATAACGTTGCTGAGGTACGACATTGTTTTATTTATGCACTTCAACGGATCATATTGATCATTTTAGGAGGTGATTACCTACAACATTCATATCATAGGTTCTATAGATGTCATTGACTAATTGACCGTATTTGAAATCTTAACACAAATTTGGTTGAAATTTTTGTGCCAACAGTGTGAACAGGGAATCCTAATATCTACTTTAAATAGATCTATTCGAAAACAAATTGGATGTTTTAGGCTTTAAATTCTCGATTAAAAACCCTAGAGGAGGGGGTGTTACTAGTTATTACATCCGCATTGTTTTTATTTTAATCATTAGCTCCCACATTAACTTCTTCAAACTTGTAATGTGTCCGTACATGTTGGACACGGTGTCCGAAGTGTGTCTAGTTTTTTAAAAAAATAAAAATAAAAAATACGACATGTTTGGACGTGCGTGTCCAACGTGTGTCATGGAATTTCTGACGAGTTGGTGTCTGACACATACAAGGTAACTTAGAAATGTCAAATTTTTTAGACGCATACAAAGGAAAGCCTTACAAAGTGGAATTGCACAAAACGCTGCAATGTTTTCTTCCCCAAAAAATAAAAATGTAGATCAGAAGAAGAATACGTTAAGACAAAAAATTGTTTACTACGGATGATAGCTGCAAGCAGCCTGGGAACTCCATGATAATGATGTAACCAAAAAAATATTGAACAATGCAAGTCAGTAGTTTCTAATGTTTCTGCAGCAACAAACAATCTTTTGATAAAAAATAGATACTTCTAAACTTCAAAGCTTTACAAAAGTAAATAATTTGTAAGCTATTTTGAACAATTTTTTACCTGAAGATTTGTTCTCTCTTCTTCTGAGCGTTTACTATTGACAATCGTGGCCTCCTCAATGGGACTATCACTATAACATGGAAATCAATATTCATGATCAAAACAAATGAAATCCATGGTCCCTAGTTGGACTCATAGATAAATTAAATTGCTTCATCCAAGGAATTTTTTTGCAAAGAGATCTAAAAGCATGCCACTTTTCAGTGCCTATATTCAATCTAACACTAATGGACTTGCAAACTCCTGCAATAATAAAAACAGTCCTCGCTCAAGTTAGGCACAGATTACAGGGGAAAAAAAAAATGAAGAAGAAGAAGAAGAAGAAGAAAGAAAGAAAGTAGAAATGGAGGGAACCATTTTGTTCTTGTAGTTCTGTCCATGAAAATAACAAATGAAATCCAGTGTGTAAAGCAGTCCTAGCGAAACAGAAAAAACAAAACAAAACAAAACAAACAAAAATAAGTGTCAACTGCATTTTACATACCATACCTTCCTGTCGGCAGAAAATCTCCAAGAGCAAAAACCAACCCGAAGACCACAATAGCACCTCCTATTCCAATCTATTGCATGTCAAAGTCTCAATTAGTGAAACCTATATGAAGAGCGTTCTCACCTTGCAGTAATGGTATTGAAGCGCATCAGCTCAATCCAGAAACATTACCTTAGTACTAAGTCCAGTTGTACTAGGGTCTGATTCAACTGGTGCATCATAGTCAATTGCTCTGTATTCTTTACTTTCATCAATCTTTTTCTGCTCAAGTGCAGACCTGAGGAGTGTACAGAAGAGCTAAAAGTCATGAAATAAATGCATAAAAAAATTAAAAACCCTCAAATAATTGAAACATTAACTAGCTAATTATAACTGATGAGTACAATTCGACTTTTGTTCTGCGATACTATGAATGATAGTGGTATGGTAGAAGTGCAAACACTTCCAAAAGTTTTTGAAAAAACAAAGCAAGACTCCAAGACATAATTGAGAATTCCTTCGCCAGGGAGTTGTTTTGATTACTCCTTTGTCTTTGGAATTCCAGTGAAGCTAAGTAATGTAGTGGATACCTATGTTACACGGACTCTTCAAAGTAAATCAAATACTTGTGTTAGACACTCGACACTCGGACAAAGATATGGGATATCTGTCGGATACTTTTCAATGATACTTCTTATATAATTGTACATAAGACTATTATTATATGTACATATTGTTCTATAATTGTTATAAATGCCTTTTTGACAAGTTACATGGCACCATTTTCTCTCACATACTTGCTTAAAAATGTAAAAATATGATATTTTTTGCCAAGTCTGCATACCCTTAAATTTATGGTTTGATGAGTCCAATCTCTAGATACATACTCGTACCTAACACCCGTACCCGAGTACATGTAACATGGGTGGATACTTTAGGCTGCACAGCAGTAGTGGTTCACAAAGGGGGTGCGTTCATGCTATTAAGAAAACTTTTTGTGACTCCATAGATGGTATATGACAGTATAGTTGATGGGGCAAGTACTATCTAAAAACTTCCATAGACTATATAATATTGGTATTAAAAAAAACAAATTATACTCAATAAATGACATATGCACACAAACTCTTTTGAAGGAAACTAGAACTCTGCCCGTAGCTAAAAGCCTATAGAAATAAATAAAAATAAAATAATAATAATAATTTTCAAAATTAAAAATTAGAAAAAAAAAATGAGCAATATATCTAACCTAATGGAGTGATGACTACAGAGTCCCCCAAGTGCACGGTGAATCTCAAAAGTTTTCAAAACAATCAGCTGCTTCTTCCTAATCATTCAGATTTTTCAACTACTTCATTACATACTGTTGGCACATAAATTTCAACCAAATTTATGGAGTAAACTACCAATAGGTCATAATAGTTGGACTTAATTCCCATCAAGTTCTATTAAAAATAAGTCCTAGTAAAATTATCGCTAAAAATAATTTTTTATGACGATTTTTTGCATAAGTCGCTAAAAATTGACAATTAGTGATTTTTGACACGGTTTTTATAAAATGTTGCTAAAATTGACAATTAGTGACGTTTTTCTATGACGAATTTTTCAAATTATAGTTGAAAGTCGAAAATTAGACGTTTTTTGTAATGATTTTTTTAAATTGTCATTAAAACTTATAATTAGTGACATTTTTTAATAGTGTTTGATGAAAAATGTGATTAATTCTCACAGGACCTATTAGACAATAAGTCCACCTATTAGGACTTACACCTAAGTCCCCCTATATGATAAGGATCTGGATTAAATGAGATGATGAGACTCTAAAATTCAAAGTCTTTTCAGGAAAATTACACGTAGAGTCTACCAAGAAGACGACATGTTCAATCAAACGGTAGCACATATAGAGCCTATAGTGGAAACGCTGTAGGATAGCACCTCTACAAAGGATCAATATGATCTGTTGAAGTAAATAATAGGGTATAATAGCATCATATTAAAAACCATGTTACTTAAGATCTTCAAGTGACACGTGGAGCCTACAAGACTCGAAGGACAGTACACTCAACCAAAAAATGACACCTATAGAGCCTAAAGTAAGGAAACTACAGGGGATAAAGTCTGGGAGATCAACACGAGCAATTAAATTTGTTATGATAACAGTGTTATCATACAATTTGAGATTCAAAATGAAGATAAGATTCTCTTATCACATAGACGGCCCTCTAAAATATTAGAACCATCACGCAAGAGGGGGATTAGAGAACAAAGATCGAAAACTACAAGAGAAAAAGAAAGGATCAGAGATTGAAGAAGCAATCAAAAGAAAGAAGAGAGACTGAGAATTCAAAAGCTAAATGTGAAGCGTAACAAGCTATCGTACCCAACACTCATTAAGCCCAACCTTAGTAGAAGTGGGTAGCGGCACTGGGTGGATGGTCTTTCCGCCCTTAAGTGGTATTACCATCCATTTTGGAGGAGCAAGCACACAATACAATGGCAAACTATAGGTAAAAGGTTCCAAACCCAACAATTGTACTTAGTGTATCAGTGGGTTATAAAACTCCCAAAATTTCAATAAAATAATTCTTCTGTTTAAATTTTCCATCATTAAATTTTTTGTTCTTCGTTAATTGGGGGTGGACGGTCTATCTGCCCTTCAGTGGTATTACCAGCCATTCTAGAGGAGCAAGCACACTATCCAATGGCAAACTATAGATAAAAGGTTTCAAACCCAACAATTGTACTTAGTGTATCCGTGGGTTATAAAACTCCCAAAATTTCAAAAAAATAATTCTTCTATTTAAATTTTCCTTCATTAAATTTTTTGTTCTTCATTAATTGGAGGTATCACTTGTTTAAAGTGTGTAATTAACAATCTGGAATCCAACTCAGACATAGGAGCCAGCTATCAAATAATCAACACTATTTAGTACAAAAACTAAACAATGGATGTTCGTAAAATGAATTTCGAAATGTGTCGAAACATTTCACGTTTCGAAATTTGTGTCTACACATACCAAGAAAATCTATCAATAAATTGACTACATGCCTATGCCAAAATGCATCTTCAAAATGACTTTTGCCTAAGAAACATATTTTTACACCTAGAGAACAAAATAATAATAATAATAATAATAATAAATAAGCCTCTTAAGGTCTCACACTAGTTAATATAACTTGTTCTAACAAATGAATTAGATCGCCAAAAGGTAGCATCTGATTATTTAGCCAAAATCGGTTTGCCAAAAGCATATGCATTTCTTTTTTTAACTAATTATTCCAATCTAGGCCAGCCGTAGTTCATCCATATTACCTAGATGGCTGAGACCATTGATCAGAGTACAAAACTTTCTGAGACCCACGCACAAGATTCTGGAGTTGAAAAAGATGTATAGTGATTAGTGAGAAACAAGACCAAAGAACAAAAAAAAAAAAAAAGTCCAGAAATGACACAATTATTCCCAACAATTGTATCGACACAATGAAATCAATTTACAGAGCATAAAATTTTTTTGTTTCCCATTTTCTCTTCAAATGAAATATCCTGCTCCCAATTATTCTTCAAATGGAAATTGTGACTTCATATGACAACTAACAGAATTAGCCATCATCATAATCCTATACGAATATAGGGAATAAGAAAGGAGAGTAGGGTCATTTAAATCATTAGTTAATCCTCTTATATGTATACGCACAGCAATATGAAGTATAAATTGTAAAATCACAGGAATGTGTATAAAACAAAATACAAAGAGATAATGCTACTCTAAAACCATTTTATCAACCATATGAAAATGCTTCCCATAAGCATGTGGTATATGGAGAAGTGGTCAAAATGTAACACCTTTTAACTGCTTCCACACGTTCCTCAAACTGCAGATCCATGGCAATATTGCTTGATTTTCCATCAGTTCGAAAACTCAACCCAGGTGCCCCTATTAGAAAAAAAAATCCATTCTAGTGATAATGCAACGGAAACCAGAAGACAAAAATAAGTAGCAAATCCTATAAAATTATGAAAGTTCAATCCTATAAAATTACAAAAATAAATAACGATATATTAGTTAAACAGACATGCTAAATTGTTACGGTCTTGGAAACTACAGGCATAACCTTGGTTTAACCTGGTAACCACAGCTAGTAACTGAGGCTACAAAACTTAAATCAGGTGAAGTGAAACTGTCAGACACAAACTTAAGAAAACACAACCCAAAATGCCAGACATTGGTAAAACCAAGGAAGCAAGGGTGTGTGTACGAGTACGGTACGGGTACAAGTGCGGGTACGCCGATTCAGCAAAACTCAAAAAAAGTATGATACAGGTACGGCTGCTGTACGCCGATATATAGATTTTTTTTAATATAATTATGGTTAAAGGATCCAACCTACAAATTAAAATTAAATATCAAAACTGAAAAGAGAACTACTCATTTTCCTATAACTTAAAACCATTAAGCGTTAAAAATAATATTTGTGAAATATCTCACTTTGACATGTTATGCAATGTGAATTTGTGATCATAATTTATTTTTAAAATCTCTCTTTTTGCTCATCAATTTGCTATTTTTATAGGGTGAGACCAAAGAAATATAGGAGACCAAAGAAAGATTTAAAGTTAATTGCCAACAATAAAGGAAAAAAAATTCTCAATTGAGGCAGATTGTCAATTGCAATTTGCATAATACATAAAATTGCATCATTCCCAACCACTACTAATCAACTAATACAGTATCAATTTTTAATGTTTTGTGCATAAGCTTTAAAAGTTTGTTATGATTAAAGATTTTATAAAGAAATTTTAGGAGGATCTGAAACAAAAGCATAATGCATAGTCATACACAGAACTGCCCTTTATAGGCCTTGTAATTTTTTTTGTTCAAATTACTTTTTAAAAACATCAAAATCATTTGCTGATATGCTTATACAATTCATACAAACAGATAGGATAACAGAGAAACATCAAAATTGTTGATCTACAAGGGCACAAAAAAATAATAATAATAATAATAATTGCTGATCTGCAAGGGCAAACCCCCCCCCCCAAAAAAAAAAAAGCTGTACCGGTACGCGACCCGGTACTCGTACGGCACTACTTTTGGAGTACCCGTGATTCATAGGGTAAAACCAGGCAAAAATAAATTGTAGTAGTAAAGATTAGAACCTCACTACCCATTCCTTCCCTGAATCTACCAAACAGTACAAAGACACTCCAACTGGAAAGAAACAAAGTGCACAAAGAAATGCTAAAACTCCCAAAGCCAATGCCTAGCATGGGTACTTCAAAAAACATGTCGTACTCGTATCAGGTACTTACCTGCATATGGTACCTCGTATGGTACTTTTGCATACGTACCATGTACACGAAACACGTATCTAAATTTTATTTTTTTAATTTTTGGCGTACCCAGGCATACCTACTATATACCCATCGAACCGTACCTCAGTTGAAACAATATTTTCTTCTATTACAAAGATAAAACTTCTTTCACTAGACTTCTTTTTTATTTTTAGTTAGGCTTAGCATGTTTTTAAAATTAAACTCTGGTTTGTATGTTATTCAATATATTGACATTTGATTTTGATTTATACCTTTACTTTTGACATTAAATGTTAATTGCAGGTTGGATCTTAACAAAGTAAACCATTTAATTAATTTTTGCATTACTCTAAATTAAAAATAAATATTTTTTTACGAGCATATCAAGCCGTACCCGTACCTTACTTTTTTTAGATTTTAACGTATCAACGTACCCGTATCGTACCAATACCAATACTCCTATCTGTACCCGTGCTTCATCGGCCAATGCATACACCATTAAACAGACATTTATAATGCCATTCTCTAATGCCATTCGTAAGTCATTTTGATTTTTCTTTGATAAGATAATAAAACAAAAATTAAATTTTAACGCCTTCACCAATTGTTGAAATATAAATTATAAAGCTTTACTCCTCTTGCTCAGTTTACACTGTAAAAAGGCTTCTTCCACCAACGAAGAATTGTATCACCATCTAGATGTGTTAATATGCAGCAAATTTTGGGATGAAAATGTTAATGAAAATACTCCTTGTTTTGGGCTGTATTTGCGAGCATATTCCAACAGGGACCTAACTTATATAAACCAAACCAAACCAAACCAAGCCTTAAGTCCCATCAAATAACTCAAGTAACTACATGTCCTTGATATAAAAACAAAAACAAAAACAAAAACTAAAAAAAACAATGTTCCACATTTTAAAAAAATAATAACAATAATAATTTGAACAACTTACTATTCGTAGTGCCAGGTAGTTTGGTAGATGATTTCCTGCAACAAGTCGCAACATGACAAAAAAGCTATAATGATTAAATAGCACTACAATGGATATGATTCATTACAAAGTAATATTAAATGAAAAGGGAAAAAAATAAAGGAAAGAAGGTGGTCTCCTAAATAACTACTTGATTGAGAACGATATACAAAATAATGGGAGACTGTTAGGAGATCAAATCCATTGGTGGAAAATATGCAATGTAGTCCAAGTGACATCATATTTCTAGAAGCATCTAGAACGATTGGAGGAATCCTCTCTCCCTTTCTCTCTAGTACTGACTTAAGACATAATATATTCTGATGCATCCATTACAATGCATATTTTATAGCCTTAATTTATTCTTTGTTAGACCTATTTTATATATTATTTTATTTTATCTTATTATGTTTATTTTTATGTTTTTAGGTATTCTGGAAGTTTAATGGAGAAACGCTCCTAAATGAAGGAAATTGGAATTTGCATGGAAAGAGATTAAATAGTTGAATGGAATCATTTATAACACATTGGGGTGTCTAGTCTAGATGGTAGTCTGGTGATTCCATTATTGAGATTCCTAGTTCAAACCTTGTTGCAAGCAAGCAAATCTATATATTTTTTTAATCAAAGGAGAAACACCCATATCCAAAAGAAGCTAGCGAAGCCACACTATCTTATCTTAGAAGTAGCATGAGCCATCTAATTTAACTAATTTTATTATTGTATAGGAGATTAATAGAGGTTGTGAAAATAACCTAACGTTTGTGGGGCCCATGACCTGAGGTGGCCCTGTTAGATTTGGATCTGGCCTAACTTGACTCTAAACTTGGGTTTTGTCATTTTGAAACTCTGACCCGACCTGACCCGATAATCCGCTCGCCCTCCCTCTCTATCTGACTGAGCAATGGTCAAAATTTAAAAGAAAATAAATAAAAAATAATAACAATTAATATTCATTGTCTGCTCATATAGACTGTTGTGCTGCTAGCAACAGGAAAAAATAATAATAATAATAATTCAAATGTCTATTGCTGCAGACTAACGGTAAAAAAAAAAAAATTAATTCAAACAGTCACATGACTGTTTAACACAACGGCCCCGAAAAAAAAAGAAAGAATTAAAATTTTACCCCATCCTTCCAAACTCCTATAAATATTTCCCCTCTCCCATTTTATTTCTCACAAACAAGTCTTTCTCAAACTCTCAATCTCTCTCAATTAATTTTGAATCTCATCCGTAAGTGGCAATTGCAATTGTTCAAAAGGAAGCGTTTATCAGAAGAAACTAATTTTTGTATCGCATTCGCCAGTCAGTAACATTAATTAGTTTAATTAAATTTATTAGTTACTCATTTCAAAAGAAAAAAAAATTACATAATTTCATACTTTTTTAGTCATAAGTTCATAACCAAAAAAACATAAGTCATATATAATTAAATTTAAATACCACCACACATGAAATATAACCAAACATCTCATTAATTTTAACTAAAATACTCTAGTACAATTTTTTTTTTTTTTTATCCCTCATAAATAAGGTTTCAAAAAGCGGTTGTGATTGCCGTAACAGTTGTGGCGGTGTAGTTGCGATTGCAGGAGGCCGTAGCGTAACGGTTGCAGTAACCGGAACCGTAAATTTTTTAATTTTTCACACAATTTGAAAAAAACTTTCCCAATACACTTTTTTTTTTTTCTAAATCATATTTATTGGGATTTAAAATAAATTTTGATCAATTTTTGTTAGTGTTTAAGTATGATCCAATATATTTCATATTTTTAAATAACTATAAAAGGAACTTTTTACATTTTATTTCAATAGTTAATGACTTTATATGTCAAATCGATATCATACCTCTTATTTTTATTTATTTTTTAAGAATAATTGATTTTAAATGTCTACAAAAAAATTTTGACCAACACCTGAACTAACTAAATAAAAAACATTTACAATTATTAAATAAAATGATTATAAAAATAAAAATTAAGACATAAACAAAAATTATTTTTGAGCTATTGAATATTGCAAAATATGTATAGTGTACAATTTGTAAGCTTTTTTTTTTTTTTTTTTTTAAGGAAGTTTTTTTTTTGAAAGGAAGTTGTTTAGAATATTGTAAATGTGTGTAACGGTGTCTAACAGACCATTACGGCCGTTACAATACCGCTACGGCCATTACGTAATATCAAAACGGCCGTTACATGTGTGAATTTCCGTCACACCGCAAAAGCAAGTATCAGGGGTAGTGCCTACCGCCGCTATCATTACGTGAAATTGGAGGAGCAAGGGTGCAGTAAACATTGGAACATTGTACCATGAATGTAGCACACTACACATAAGAGATCATCCTAGTGCGTAGAACGGAGAGCTGAAAACATACTACCTAAGAATGTGAACAGCATAGGAAATATAGGGGTGGGTCACAGTGAGGTAAACTAAACAATTAACAAGCTCGTGATAAGGGGTGGGATCATCAAGGGGCACACCATTAGAAGCAAAAAACTTAACATGCAATTCAATAGGAGTATCAACAACGTTGTCATCAGTGAGATGAGCCCAAGAGAGGATGTCACTAGCATACTTAGTTTGGGACTAAAGGTAACCCATAGGAGAGGAGGCCACCTCAATGCCAAGAAAATACCGAAAAGGACCCAAGTCTTTCATCTCAAATTCAGAGAAGAACTGTCGTTTGACATCCTAAATAGCATGTAAGGCAGACTCGGTAATGATCATATCAAACATATATAGTAAGAGAAGAACAACACTAGTAGAAGTGCGACAAGCAAAGAGAGAAAAATCATATGTGCTAGGATAGAAACCAAACTTAAAGGCAACAGAGCAAAAATGCTCATACCAAGCTCGAGAAGCCTACTTGAGACCATAGAGAGCCTGACGAAAACAACACACAAGGCCAGGGGAATGAAAAAGGCCAGAAGGTGCCCTCATATAAACTTCCCCAACAAAATAGCCATTGAGGAATGCATTCTTGACATCTAACTGAAAGAAAGGCCATTGAGACATAGTAGACACAAAGATAAGTGTATGGGAAGTGGTCATCTTACCAACAAGAGCAAAAGTTTCTTCCTAGTCAATCCCATACTCCTAAGAAAAACCCTTAGCCACTAAGTGAGCTTTGTACTGTTCCCAAGACCCATTAGAATGTGTCTTAACTTTTGTACACCCATTTGCAACCAATAAGATTTTTGCCGGCAAGCAGAGAAACCAACTCCTAATTCTGAGTCTTGTCAAGAGTAGTTAACTCACCATTCATAGCAACGACCCAATTAGGATCATGACAAACTTCTTTATTAGACTTGGGCTCAAAGTAAGTATGGAGACAAGAAAGAAAGGAACAATAAGAACAAAAGAAATATGTATTAGAAAAACCAAGTCTTACCGGCATATGGCGATCCTGAGAAGGGTACTGATGTGCAAGTAGGTCAAAGTCCAAAGGTGCAGTGGAAGAAGCGGCAAAATTAGAAGGAATAGAAGTGGAAGGTGCTTGATGACGTTGTAAACAAGAAAAGGAGACAAGGAAGGAGCAAGAGGAGCGAGAGGTAGAGACTTGAGAGTTGAGACAAACTCATCATGGGGGACATCAAGGGGAAAAGAATCAATATGAACCAATTCATCTTTAGTAAGGGAAGCAGACCTAGACAGAAGAGTGAAGTAGGGCAATTTTTCTAAGAAAGTGACACATTGACACAGAGTTTGCAAGTCACATGGTCATAAAAGCAGTAACCCTTTTGATGAATACCATACCCTAAAAAGACACATAAGAAACACCAAGCACTAAGCTTCAACCGATCGCAATAGGGAAGGAGAACAAAATAAGCGGATCCAAACACACAGAGGAGAGTAATTAGGAATCTCACAAAAGAGACGCTCATAAGGGGAAGCACCAGAGAAGAGTAGGCATCTGATTAAGTATAATACGCAGTAGTAAGCACAAATTCCCCCCAAAACATAGAAGGTATAGGCGAGGAAAGAATAAGTGAACGAGTTGTGTCAAGAAGATGACGATATTTCCGTTTAGCTCTGTCATTTTGGGCAGTAGTATCAGAACAAGAAGACTAATGGATGGTCCCATGTTTAGCTGAGAACTCAGTAAAGTCGGATAGAAAATATGAAAATACTCCTCCACCCATCCCCTCCACCAAAGCTAGAACAAAGAATTTTGATGGTAGTAGAGAACTATGTCTGAACCATAGAGTGAAAATTACAATAGATTTTATAAAAATTTGATTTTCGTGCCATTAAGTAGACCTAGGTAAACCTACTATAATCATCAATAAATAAGACATAATACTAAGAACCACCCTTGGTAACAATAGGGAAAGGCCCCAACAAATCAGTATGAACCAATTGAAAGGGAGTAGATGATACAGAAGTACTGTTGTTAAAAGGAAAAGTTTGCATTTTCGCAAACTTACAACCACTGCATTCAGAAATATCACTAATTGAAATATTACTTAAACAACCAGATTGTACTAAAAGTTTTAAACGATCCTAGATAAATGTCCTAATCTAGAATACCAAAGATAAAAAAAGGAAGAAGCAGAATTTAAACAAAAACAAGACATAGCAATGGAGGTAGAATCCAAAGGGATATGCAGGCTCTCCAAGACATATAGTTCACCAACCCTACGCCCAATCCCAATCCCAATCCCAATCCCAATCCCAATCCCAATCCCAATCTGTCTCCAGGACACCCGATCCTGCACAGCACAACCAGAAGAAAAGTAAACATCAAACCCGAATTAGATAGTTGACTAATAGAAAGAGACTAAGAGATAATTGAACATAAGGGATACTAGAGAGAGAGAGAGAGAGAGAGAGAGAGAGATGTGAGGAGAAGAGGTAGAACCAATAGAAATAACAGGCATAGGGGAACCATTAGCAGTGGCAATAGTAATAGGTGTAGGTGGCCAAACACAATGACAGAGAATAGAGACATTATGAGTCATACAGTGAGAACACCTAGAGCCAAAGATCCATGTGGGAGGTAGAGTACCTGAGGCAAAAGAATTTGGCAAACCTGACTGAGTGGTGGTTATACAAGAAGCTTAAAAAGATAGACATTGGTTGGCCAACATGAATGATAGAAACTGCTCAATCATGGACTGCATGGTCGGACAGGGAGTAGAACCGAAGACTGGTGCGGCCAGATCTATTGAAGAGCAAGAAAGCTGCAGTGGTTGGCGAGAGGATGAGTAATACAAACTGCAACCTTTGGGTTACAAAAGCTTAGGACATGCATGCTTCCAATGCCCCTTTTGATAACAAAAATTGCACTTATCCATAGCAATGCAAGGTTTAGGCTTGCCAGTGATCTTATCCAACTGAGATGTAGGAGTATGTAATAGTGGCGGAGTAACAAACATAGTCTGATATGGAGAAGCAACATAGGCAACTTTGAATGTAGTTTCTTCAGCAATAAGTTCCTGAATAGCACCATCCACAGACAGCAAAGGGCTATGATGAAGAATAACCCCACGAAATGGCTCAAACAGATCACGAAGAGCCATCAAAAACTAGGCAAGTTGTTTCTCTCTATACTTCAGATAGCTATCAAGCGATTGCAAATCAGAGGGTTCAATCAAGGTTGTTAAAATCGGGATCCTACGTTAGATCGTTAGAGGTGTTTATAGGATCGGATCGTAGAATCGGATCGAGAATCGTAAGATCCTACCGAAAAAGACAAATTACATAGTTATTTAATTTAAATAAATATTTCTTGTAAAGTATACACAAAATGAGCTTATATTCTATTAAAAAGAAGTGAAGATATTGTGAAAAATATAATACTCAATGTAAAATGCACATACAATATTATACAATAGAAAACTCAATGGTAAAAGTTTTGTATTTAATCAAAAAAGAAGGTGAGGAAGAAGAAGAATTCTATAACAAAATACTTTACAATCTACAATAATGCATAAAAAGTGAAAAAAAAATATTTAACAAAGTTGGATATGAAAATAGATTAAGAACTCAAAAGAGTACCTTAGTCAAATGATACTGTTTGTCGTTAGCATCTCTAGTGGAGCGGATTTGAGTCACAAAAATAATCTCTCCAAAAATTGGGATAAAGTTGCAATCATCTTACCCTCTTTAGATTCCGCTAAAACTAAGTTTGTTTTTCTGATTATTTAATTTTCTTAAATTGCCGCAATATTTGAACGTTTGTTTTCTAGTTTATTTTTCTTAGTGTATTTGATTCAATACTATTTAATTTTTATTATTTATTTTGACCACATAAATTGGTATTTAGACAACAAACATAAAATTTGCAATAAAATATGTCATACAATACAAAACAAGGCTTGTAAATTGGATCGGATAGGATCGGATTCGGATCGGGATTCCACGACCCTATAAGATCCCACTACCAGGATCGAAAGGTCCTACCTATAAGGAGTTTTTTACATGATCCGGATCGATTGTACTCAAATGGATCGTAAGATCGTAGGATCGTAAGATCCGGATCGAGATTCTAATAACTATGGGTTCAATGAGAGCTAGTTGAACCCAGTAGGTGGTAATTTCGTTATAGAACAACTGAATTGACTTATCGCATTGTGTAGAACTATGGATGGACATCTAAAGCTCATACTATTTGGCAAAGTTGGATTCAAGATACATATTTTTTAAATAATCCCATACTTTCTTTGTTGTAGTATACTTAGAAAAATTCATGCTTATGCTTGGTTGAACAGAGTTATGAAACCATGTGAGAATTTGAGCATTTTCCTTATCCCATTTTGCTACCTCAACTTTAGTTTCCTTTGATTCAATACGTCAAATGGTTACACGCACAACATACCCCCATATACGCTTGCCAACTAAAAAAATTCTTCATCACACTGGACCAGTATGAATAATTGGTACCATCCAATCGAATACTAATAGCATGCAACTTATCATCAAACATTTCGCAAAGACAAATGTATGTAACGAAATATTACAAACCAACCCAAAATATAATATCTCACTGCACCAACACACGAGTAACACCTATCCAACACGCACTATAGTGTCGCTTTTTATAGGGGATGTAACAAACAAATTATTGCAAATATCCAAAAATTGAAGGTGAGATTCTATTTGAACAATAAGCCCTAGAAGCAGAGAGAGAGAGAGATGAGAAGTTCTCTCTCGAAGGCCAGTACTATTGAAGGGAGAAGGTTTGATAAGGAGATATGCAATTAGGAGTTACAAAAGAGAGAAAAAAAATTAGGGTTTTCTTTTCTCAGTTTATTGTGGGTAACCGCTTATGCTAATTTGCTTGATTGCATATACCTAAATTGCTTATGATTTACGCATAATTGCTTACTAGCATATTCCTAGTTTGCTTAAAAACTCTATGCAGTTTGCCTAATTTGCTTATACTTAATAATTGCTTAATTGCATGGCCTTAATTTCTTTGTTTAATATGCTTTTGCTAATTTCTTAAATGATGTATGTTTTATTGTGTCGTCTTTAATTAGTATTATATTACATTTTTCATTATTTTTTAATAAAATATTAATATGACATAAAATAAACATATCAAATATATTTTACGTGTCCCTAGTGTTTCGTGCCTTACATTTTTTGAAAATCGGCATGTTAGTGTGTCTGTGTCAAGTCACATGCCTATATCATGTCCATGCTTTTTAAGCTGACATGTAAAGCACATAGACACCTAAATCAATTCAACCACTTGCATGACATGAAGCTTTCAAACATTCCGAAATTACAAGCGACCAAAATGGAACTTAACTAAATTCTAAACTAGGTAGATATGTGAAGTTTTTAATCTTTGCATCATTGATTCTATGAAGATTTTTTTTTTCAAAAAACTCCTTGTAGCTCTAAGCATGTTTAAAGTTGTAAAAGTTGTGAACAAAAAATCAACAAGCTCAGTATTTATTAAAATATTAAAGTGGGTACAATTAAAGCAGCAGAAGGTGACCATTCTAAACATAAATATGCTTGTAGCTACGTGTAGCTCTAAGCCCGTTTGAAACTAGAATAACAAAAAATGAAAGGACAATGCCAAAGATGACCATTCTAAACACAAATACGCTTTCATTTCACTTTTCTTTATTTGTATACGTAATGTTTGCATTTCTCATGGTTATAGATAAGAGTGGGAATTTGCGACACGACACAACAACACAACTCAAACCGTACACCAAATTAGTGGGTTAGGGTTGACCATTTCTTGATAGGAACACATATATGACACAACCTGATAACACGAATACTAAACAAGTCGGGTTAGTGTCAAATCTTTATAATATGAAATTGACATGAATAACCCATATAATGAAAAATTAGTTACACATTTTAATATTATTTCCACTAAAAAATATCATGACATTTTTTAATCTCTTATATAATTACATACAATTTATTAAGAAGTATGTAAAATACAATGTTAAGCTTAATATAGGTTTTGTTTTTACTTTTAATTGAACTTAATGTATTTTTTGTCTATTATCTGAGTCATAGTAAAAAAATATAATAATAAAATATAATTTTTATAAATTAAGAAAATGAAATTAAGTTGAAATCAAATATTTTTATAAATAATTTCATTTAATAAAGATTATTTTCATTAAATTTAACTCGTAAAGAAATTTTCAAATTTTTTTCATACATTTGATATTTTTAGTTAATAGTGAAATTTTTTGACATGACAAGTTAACACGACAATAGCTGGACACAGACCGAAAATGACACAACACGATACAATACGATAACACGAAATAATAAACAGGTCGGGTTAGTTTTGAGGTAATTCTGACACGAACGACTCGACACGAACACGACCACAACCACGACCCAACACGACACGAACACGACCACGACCACGACCACAACCACAACTAGTTACAGAGAACTTTAAAAAAGATTAATAGAATAATTTGTTCTAAAACAGTGGGATCTATATTAATTTTCTATAAATGATTGACGTGTTTGTAGCCTCATATTCATTTGATGATTGTTCATTTAAGATCAATATTTCGGTTTTCTATTGCAATCCAAAATTCAATGAAACATTTATTCGGAGTTTTCACATACTTCGATCATTTTTTTGTTTCTAAACCTAACCCCTTTTGTTCTTGCCTAAGAACAAAAATAAATAAATAAATAAAATAGCATAAATAAAAGAATAAGAGAAGCAAACACACCATTTAGTAAATGTTGACAGGAATTGCAGTGCAAAAGGGGTATTTATGATTCACAAGTTATTTGCAAAAGCAAGAAATGGAAGATCACTCAATGAAACACAAGAGATGAAGGAATGAACTGGAAACTGTTGGCAAAGATAAAACATACAATGTTATAGAAGAAACCTGAAAAGCACAGCATGAAATGCGACATAAAAACCAGAAACTTTGTAGCGGAAATGTATTTTTATGTTTCTAATGGAAGGAATACATTTACCTTTTTTCTAATACTAGATCCTGCTCCCCACGAGAGGTGGTCTCTTTGTTTGCCTGAAACATTTTAAACACCAAGGCTATGAATGCCCCAACAATTTCACTGTTTATAAATGGCAGGGGCTATAATACAATTAATTTTAATCAACAAAAACCATTATAGTTAATAAGAAACAGTAAAGAGATGATGTAAGATTTTGTGAGCACGGAGTTGTACTGCGCAAGGCATCAAATTCACTCTGTTAAGAACAAATACCAAGACATAGTTCAAAGTGAATACCACAACAACAATCGGTAGAGACCGTAAGGTGGTACTACCAACAAGAGCAATGTTAGAGACCACTAAAACATAACCCCTAAATTCTCTAAATTTATACACACTAATGTGGCAAGGGATTGGGTTTTAGTTGGTTGATTACTAAACAAAACAACAATTTTTTATAGGTAAATTACACATTCTACCCTTACACTTTACATCAGACTCCATTTTAGTCCCTCATTTTTTAATTTTCTTGCACTCTCAATCAAGTTGCAATTTGACCATTCCATTAGTTTATTGTTGAATTGCGTAACGAAAATTATCATGTGACCCTCACATGAAGCATTTTTTAGGGCAAAATAAAATTTTCTTCCATTTTCTACTTATTCTCTATTTTTTCACAGTATTTTCTCTCTATTATATTTTCTAAACCCAAAAATACAGTAAAAAAATAGAAAAGAAAAAGGATATTACATTTTTACCCTAAAAAATGCCTTGTAAGGGTCATTTAATTGGGTATCATGGATGGCGGACTGTGAACTCGCGCACAAATCAGCAGATTTTGTGTGAAAGCGGGTCAAATTCCCGAATTGCAATCAAATTCAAATCTAACCCAATCATTGATTGTCATGAGCACACAGGAAGTGTAACGTCCCCAAAATATAATACAATTAATTCATTCCATAAGATCTATGAACATAATAAAATGGTATACTTCATTCATCAAAGTCTATATTACAAAAGGTGTATTACATGCATCATACATTCATAAATGTTCATCCTGAATCTATAGCATGTAATAGTAGATTAACAACAACAAAATAAATGCTCTACGGGCTTACATCTTTTCAAGTTATTATTTAGTTACAACAAAAGAAAGAGTCCTAAGGCCCCGTTTGGTGTAGCTGTTAAAACAACTTATAGATTATAGCTTAACAGATTATAGATTATGACTTTAATTAGAAGTTGTTAATCTGTTTGGTGTAACTGTTGGATTATAGATTTAAGTTGCTGAGTAGTGTTTGTTAAATAAGCTGTGAAATAGCTTTTTCAATTAATTTTTATTTTTTGTTTGTCTACATTTCTCATAAAAAATAATAATAATAATCTATAGTCCATTTGAGTCTTTTTCTATTTCTAAAAAAATAAAAAATAAAAAAATTTAAGAGTATAACCATAAATTAGCATGTCCACAGCAGAAGCTGATAATCAGAAGCAAGGGGTGAGCAGCTTCGCAGAATCAGCTTTTTTGAGTCAAAATAAGCTGTTAGAATCAGAAACTGTTTGAAATAAGTTTAACCAAACAGTCCAAAATAGCTTTTTCAAAGCTAAAAGCCATAAGTTGGCTCTGAAAAACTGAAACAAACACCCCCTAAGCTCTATACATGTAAAGCCCTCGGCTTGAATAAATATTTAAACATATCATAATAAAAATAAAGCCTTCAGCTCCTAGTCCTCCCAATTTACGCCCTTGGAGGAGGCATGTCACTTGTACCTAAAAATGGTTTCTCAAGTAGGGTGAGCTAAAACCCAATAAAGATAAACTAACACAATATATGGGATTCAACTAAGATATAAATGCCAGGTATAATTATGTTCAATGTTCATGACCAACTTATATTCTCTCCAAGACCATTCAACGTAGATTTTCACATCTCAATCCATTTCCATCCATCCATTTTAATTCAATTTATAAGTCAAGTTCATTGTCATCTAAACATGCCAAATGAAATTACAATTCATTGGTTCACACTTTAACAATATCTATTATTCAAAAAACTTCCAACATGCCATTTTACGGAATTCACATCCGAGGGAATCGGCACCTATAATTATAAAATTTCGAGACTTTCACCCTGGACACTCCGGCCAACTTAATTTTAAAATGGAGTCCATCCCTTATCTCCTCTCAAACAATGGAATACATCTCCTATCTCCTCTCAAACAAAGATACATATACAATGTATTAAAAGTATCGTCATATACAATGACTATCCACGACACATTTTCAATATCTCGATCATATCATCAGATTCAATGTGGTAAATTAAAAGATAGGTTTCAATTCACCTAATCCACATGCAGTTTCTACAACAATCATAGCTATCTTCCACCAATAGCCCAAAACAGATATTTCTAAACAGATATACAATCTTTTAAATAGATAATTTATCAAATTCCCATAGGTGAGTGATTTAACAAATCCAACTACACCATTCATTCATGCATCCTCCCAATTTCATATTTCCTATATCAATCTCATTATTTATACAAAATAATTTATTTAACTCAAATTAGGGTAAATTTCTCCCTTTTCCAAATATTAACCCCAAGGTAAAATTTCACCATTTTATCACTAGAGGACTTCATACACAAGGTCCCTTAGTCATTTTAGAATCCAAAATAGAAAACCCCTCTTTGATTTTTGAGATTAAACCCTAACTTTACCCAAATCCTACCAAATTCCTTCATTTATACAAAATGACAAATACCTAGGTTAAAAATCATAACAATGTGTAGAATATCCCTACCTCAAGAGTAGAAGCCCAAAGTAGAAAAGGAAGAACTTCAAGAATGCCCAAACTCTACTTTGTTCGGATCAAAAGGAAGCCCACAAGATGCTCTATCTTTTTATCAAAGGAACTACGGTTGAGAGATCCCTAAATCTAGGTGTATTTGTAGAGAGAGAGAGAGAGTATTTTAGAGAGAGAGAGAGTGCCAAATTAGGGTTTTTAGAAGAAATGAAATCAAAAAGTGATGTAAAATGACTCAGCTGCGAACTAATATACGCGACCTTCGCTCGAACGAAGGAGTTGTCGCTCGAGCGACCAGACACAAGTGACCTCGCTCGAGTGCAAGAAGTGTCGCTTGAGTGTAGAATACATACCTTCAGGTATTTCACAGACGCACACCCTTGCTCGAGTGCAAGAAGCCTCGCTCGAACGAAGAACTTCATCTTCCTAGAAATGCTGTGCCTGGAAGGAAACCTGAGAACTCTCAAAACTCGATCAAGCATAAAAAACCTTGCTCGAGCGAAGAAACAAATTTTACAAGGCTTGCTCGAGCGCAAGAAGTCTCGTTCGAGTGAAGAAGCCAAAATCTGGGCAGCAACAATCTAGACCAACTAACAACCAACCTGTTCCAAACTCGGCCAACATATTCTAAAACTCAAATTCAAAGAGTTAAAGGAGGAAAACAAGACATGGATATAATACTAAGCCACGAAACCCAAATCCGAAATATAACAAGGTCGGGTCAAAACCGGGATCGCTATAACCTCCCCCAATTAAAGAATTTTGTTCTCGAAATTTTAGTACAAGTTTCAAAAACCGTGATTACCCAATTTTCAAAATGTTCACAATTTAATTCTCATCATCATGACCCACCCACCGGTCATTCAATCTCTTCACAAGAGAATAAATCCACAACATATCGCTCAACATAGATTATCAATATGTATCTTCCAAAATTTAACTAATTTCAATACATATATCTCATGTTTCCAAAACATATTCAATGTTTATGACAAGTTTACATTTCCAAAACTCAAACAACATATACAATATTTTTATAGTTCATAAACGAAATTTAAAATCTTAACATATACTCAAACATCAACAAATAAGTCCGGATATCTCTCACGGACTTTCAATTCATGCTCCCAAGTTGCTTCCTCAACCCCGTGATGTTTCCACAATACTTTGACCAAGGGAATTGTCTTTCCTCGCAAGACTTGGTCCCGTCTATCCAAGACTCTTACCGCTCTCTCCTCATACGAGGCATCCTCGTCTACTTCTAAGTCAGTCCAATCCAACACATGCGATGGATCCGGCTCGTACTTCTGAAGCATACTAATATGAAACACGTCATGCACCCTGGAAAGTCGTGGCGGTAACGCCAAACGATAGGCAACCTCCCCAATCTGCTCAAGGATCTCAAAAGAGCCAATAAACCGAGGGGATAACTTCCCACTCTTCCCAATCTTATCAAACCCCGTCTAGGTGATATTTTCAAAAAGACATGGTCACCGACCTCGAATGACAAAGGTCTCCTCCTACGGTCAGTATAACTCTTTTGGCGACTCTGGGCTGTAACCAACCTCTTATGGATAAATGTCATTTTCTCCATCGTTTCTCAAACCAACTCTGGACCTAACAAAGGTGCATCACCCACCTCCGCCCAATACACTGGAGATCGACACGGTTGGCCATACAAGGCTTCAAACGGTGCCATGCCAACACTGGATTGAAAACTGTTATTGTAGGCGAACTCCACTAATGGTAAGTGTCTCTCCCACGACCCCTTAAAGTCAAGGACACAACCTCAAAGCATATCCTCAAGGATCTGACTAGTACGCTCGAACTGCCCGTCAGTCTGAGGATGGTAAGCTATGCTAAAAGTTAGTCTAGTGCCCAAGGCACTCTGCAAGCTCTGCCACAGCCGAGCTGTGAAATGCGAATCTCTATCTGAAACAATCGTCACAGGGAGCCTGTGCAACCTCACTATGTCCCTAACATACAGGTCGGCAAGATAGTTTACCGAATCTCTTACGCGCATAGGAATAAAATGCCTCGACTTAGTCAACCGGTCAACTACCACCCAAATGGCATCGTTACCCCATTGAGTCCTCGGAAGGCCCACAACAAAATTCATCGTAACATGCTCCCATTTCCACTCACCTATAGGCAAGGGTTGCAACAAACCCGCTGGCCTCTGATGTTTGGCCTTCACTTGCTGACAAGTAAGGCACCTCGATATAAACACCGCCACATCCTTCTTCATACCCCTTCACCAAAACTGACTCTTCAGATCATGATACATCTTTGTACCTCCCGGATGCACCGCAAGGCGTAAATGGTGAAACTCTCGGAACACTTCCTCTCGGCAAGACTCTGGCACAAACAAACGGTCACAGTATCTCAGGTCGGGCTACACAGTCAAACTCTTCTCTACCTTCCCACTGGAGATCTTCTCCCGGAGGGATTCTACCTCAAAGTCACCCTTCTGTGCTTGTAACACTCGGTTCATAAGTGTAGGTTGTACAACTACAGAAAATAGGGCTACAGACTAAATAGACTCGCCCAAATACAAGTCAAATTCACCAAAGGCACCCAACATCTCCCATTCCCAGATGGCAATACAAGCTACACTACTGATAGATTTCCTACTTAAAGCGTCGGCCACCACATTGGCCTTCCCTAGATGGTAATGCAACTCGAAATCATAATCTTCTATGAACTCCATCCATCTTCTCTGTCTCAAGTTCAAGTCCTTCTGTGTAAACAGATACTTCAAACTCTTATGATCAAAAAACACCTCCAATCTCTCACCATATAGATAGTGTCTCCAAATCTTCAAAGAAAAAATCATGTGACCCTCACATGAAGCATTTTTTAGGGCAAAATGAAATTTTCTTCCATTTTCTACTTATTCTCTATTTTTTCACAGTATTTTCTCTCTATTATATTTTCTAAACCCAAAAATACAGTAAAAAAATAGAAAAGAAAAAGGATTTTACATTTTTACCCTAAAAAATGCCTTGTAAGGGTCATTTAATTGGTATCATGGATGGCGGACTGTGAACTCGCGCACAAATCAGCAGATTTTGTGTGAAAGCAGGTCAAATTCCCAAATTGCAATCACATTCAAATCTAACCCAATCATTGATTGTCATGAGCACCCAGGAAGATTTCTCTAAACAGCACGAGCTTCATTGATGATGGAAAAATTAATTTTTGCCTTCAAGCAGTTTTGAATAGGCGACCCAAGGAAGGAAAGCAACAAAAACCCGTTGTAACACCACTCAACCAATGTGATTTTTTAAGCAAATCCTAACTACTATTTTTTCCACTTATTTTACTTATTAGTGTAAAAAAAAGTTAAAAGTTAATTAAAAATAAACAAATTTATAAGTTTATCTATTCTATAATATTATATATAGCCCACACTTTGTTGGCATTATGCCCTTTTTTTTTATTTCTGAAAATACCTGCAAGAACAGTCTTGCCATTATTCAGTTTTTTTTTTTTTTTTTTTTTAATGAAAAAGAAAAACTAAAAATAAAAAATAAAAAACACACTCAACTACCTCATAACACACCTTGATTATAGGTGGTGTTTGGGAAGTGAAATTTTAGCTTTTTTAAGGCTAAAATTTACAAAAAGACAAAATAGGCTAAAATAGTTAATAAGACAAAATATCACATCAAACCCATAATCATTTCACTTTTTCTCTTACAAGCATTACATTTAACTACAAAAAAATCCAATCATCTTTATAAACATAAAAATTTTAACCTACTAAAATAATCAAAAACTAAAATAGCCTACTAAAATAGTAACTTCTCAAACACCCACATAGTGTGATTAAACTTCTAGTATCTATCTATTATAATATATAAAGGGAAGGCTGCCGGTGGTGTTGACACAAATGAGTAATTCTCCTTAGACCTATTTTCTCATTACAATCAATTAAGTTTTTACTCTCTCTACACATTCCAATATACCAATTTTATGCCATCTTCAACCCTACCTCTCCTTACACCCACTTTCATCTCCTCTCTCTCTCTCTCCCCCCTTCACACTCTTCTTTTTTCCATTACCACCACTATCAACCGCCACTGCCACTACCGTAGGTTGCCACTGTCACCATCTTCACAGCCCTTCAACCACCACGACCACCACTGTCTGGACCATAGCCCCATGATCTCCACCACGCGAACACTCCATCGCGACCTAGCCACCAGCGCCAAAACACTCCATCCTGACCCAGCCACCGCGCGAACTCTCCTCCCTGACCCAACCACCGCATGAACTTTGCACCGCAACCCAGCCATCACGCACATGTGCACACGCGTGTGCGCCGAGAGAGAGAGAGAGACTAGGGTTTCAGATGTGGTAGATCTAGATGTTACGAGGGTTGGGGAATGGTGATGGGAAGAAAGGGAGGGGTTGGGGCGTAGCGGTGGTGGGCCGACCTCTTCTTTTTCTTCACAGATGGTTTCAAAGTGTGGGGCAGGAGTTGGGAGATGGACAGCTGTAGAGGGGCAACAAGAAGAGGCGACGGAGAGGGAGGGCGGCGATGGTGGAAGAAAAAGAGGTGGGTACAGCGGCAAGTTGGATGGTGTGGTGCCAACGACAAGTTGGGTAGTGCCGACAACAATGGTGGCATGAGATAGAGAGGGTTGGGTGTGTAAAGAAATTGGGGTTTCAAATTTCTAGGGTTCGAGGTCTAAAAAAATAATTTTATCAAATGAGAAAATTGCAATAAAAATAGAATGAAAATGGGAGGTGAAAAGAATTGAAATTGTTGTTTAAGTGGAATTTCCCAACACAAATGTGTCTCATATTTTGGGTTTTTCCAAAATATCCTTATATTTGGAGTTTTTGTAAAAATTATGCAATGAGGAGGATCGGCCTCGAATCCATGACCAAGTTTAATTTTTGTAAAAATATCCTATATGTGCCCTTTTCTCAGTATTAGTCTTGTAATTTTTTCTTTTTTTCTTTGTTTTGCGATTTGCACACGCAGGATGCATGTGTGGGCCACTAGTATTTATATATACACACTATGAGTCTCAAGAGCATTTTCCTAACAATATAAAATTTCGACACAAACCCCCCAAAACATCTATCTAAATCTTCCACCACCAAAAGAATTGTATGTTAGAGACATAGGATGGCTGAGTTATCAAAAAAAACAATTAATATATTTTTATACGAATTTAACCTATATATATATATATATATTCTTTTAAGCAGACAATCACACACTTAGAACCTGAAACAAGTAAATAAATAAAAACCTAACAAAGGGGGAAAATATAGAGAGAGAGAGATTAAAGGAGAGGAGTGGGTTACCTTGTAGTCCTTATTATTAGTGGATTGACGCCCAAAGCCGCGCCCTGGTTTTGAATCAGAAGAAGAGTGTATCACACGAAAGCAGTGTTGTTGTTGTTGTTGTTGTTGTTGTTGGCGATTTTCCCATTTTATGTGGTTGTAATAGTACAATCTACTATTGCTTCCCGTTACTGTTATTGTTGTTGTAATGGACATGTTGGCATTAGGAGGAATAATACTCACTTGAAACGGAGAAAATTGGAGAAGACGAAAATGAGTAACTTCTTCGCTCCCTCCCTCCCTCTCTCTCTCTCTCTCGGGCTCTGGCTCTCTTAACTCTCTTGCCGCCACAGGAATTTAGATAAGGGTCCTTCCTTGCTTTGCCCGTCCACACTTGATTTGGTTGTAAACTTGTTTCATAAAAAAATTAAAAATTAATTTGATGAAAGAAACAATAAAAATATTTACAATATTTATTACTTTTAAAAGGTCAAAAATAATTTTTTTTAATTTTAAAATAATATTTTTGATATTTATTTTTATCAAAATTAGTTTCTATTTTTTTTTTTTTTAATTCTGCAATTTTTTATAAAACACAAACTAAAATGTTTGAAACCCCATAAAGCTCCCACAACTATCATGTGTCAATTTTTTATTTGTTACACTCAATGATATAAAGCCCAACTCTCTTGCGATATTATTGTGGGTGAATTTGTGGATCTAGAGTCTCTAGCATTGGTCTAGAAAAAATTAGCGATAATTATACATAAATAAAAATAGTGGCATCTCTTTAGTCTGAATTGGAGCGTGCTGTAGAGCTCTTTGAGTACTTCATCTTTGTAAAAAATCACATTGATTAGATATTAATAGCCACTTGATCAAATCAAATTGTGTTTACGATCAGTATGATTTAAAAATAAATTGTTGAAACATATATGATCTAATCAAGTGGCTATTAAATCCAATCAACGTGATTTTTTACAGGGATGAAGTATTCGACGAGCCCTACACATTAAACAGTTTGGATTATTGAGATTAATCCAAAATGGACTGTATTGGACCGTCTAGTTGAAATACCCAACTAGAGACAGTCCAAACCCTAAAAAAAATCTAAGTTATTACAAAATAAATTTGAGTTTTTAGTTTTTTTTCAATTTAAATCATAATTTTTTGATATGTTTTCAATTTAAATTATTTGCCTATTTTTATTAATTAAAATCAATGTAAGAATAGGTATTTTAGTCATTAAACTCAATGGAAAATGGTATCTTAAACATTTTATGTATGTCTGCATTCACTTTAATAACTAAAATACTCATTTTCCGCCGGCTAAATTAACAAAATTAGCTGAATGATTTACATTGAAAACTAATTAAAAGATTAGAATTTAATTGATAAATTTAAAAACTCAAGGTTTATTTTGTTTGGAAAATTAAATCTTAGGTTTTTTTTTTTTCTTTCTTTCTTTGGTAATTGTCTCAAAAAAATTATATGCCAGTGTGCAATTTATTTGGTAGTTATGTTGGCACACAAAGCATTTCTTATTGTCACAGAGTAATGCACCAAACTACCAAATAATCACTCAAGTAATACACTAGTAATTAGGAGACTAGTAGAAGGTTGTGTGGGTTAGGAAAAATTATTAGATAGTTCAGGGGCACCATCAGATAATACGCCCCATCTATCACCAAATGCCATGCCTTCTGCTATTTTCTCATGACCTAACAAAAACTCATGAGCCATACCCTTGTGAAATATGCTATGTTCATGTCTTTGTTATTTAGTTTAGCCATTGAGAGTAGTTTAGTCTTTCTTCTGGAATTAGATTTTTAGGGTTTCATTAAGAGTAGTTTAGTCTTTCTTCTGCAATTAGGCTTTTAGGGTTTTGGTTTTAACTTATTTATATTGTACTATTGCAACTTTTGCATTTTTATCATCTTCAATACATACGAACTTTCAACTTTGTATCATGGTACCAGAGCCAAAAGGCTTGAATCCGTAGGACTTGAATCCCTCCGACATCGGAAATTGCATATCATAAGTTATGAAATCTCATATTTTTGAGCTACTAATATATTAGTGAGTAGTGTTAATGGTTTATTATAATAGTTTGGTGGTTAGATTTTTAAATGAAAACCTATCTTATTTCTTTATATTTATTTTATCTTTTTTAATTTCCACCTCAATGTTATTCTTATTTTTTTTTTTTTAAAAAAAAAAAAAAAAAAACAGATTGTTACACATTTATCATTTTTCTTTTTTATCAAAAAAATAAAATAAAAAATAAAAATATATATATTATTTCATGAATGGCCGACAACCCATATGGGTTGCCATGCCTCTCCTATGCCATTTGCTCCTTTCAATCTTTTCATTCTCTTTTCTTTATATTTATTTGTTACTTACTTGCTCCCCAAACAAAAGTTCACTTCTTACTTCTATTTTTTTTTTTTTTAACGCACTTTTTACTTCTAGGAAAATGTTTGAGACCCCCTTTGGGGATGATTCCTACACTCTCAAAGTAATTCTGACCCTCCATATATGTGTGGGACCCACTCATATATGTGTAGAGTTCACATCATAAGTGGTCTAAATTTGTGGGGGTCTTGTGGGAATCATTGCTCTTACTTCTATTTATACCACCAAAATTGAAGAACACGTCACTTCTTCAGTTTCTCCTTATTTCCGTGCTCTCTCCTTCATCATGCTCTTATATTTATGATATATTTTGAATTTAGTTTAAGAGTGTTTAGAGCGAGAATTAGTAATTTTCTAAAGAGGAAAGTGATAGGTTTTGTCAACCCTTATATATCTTATGTCTTAGAATTTTAATACGCTATTTGGAGATCTATGGAGAAGAGTAGATGATTAAAGTGTTGGTGACAGAAGAGATTGTTTTGAGATAACTAGGTGGTATATAATATGTTTTCTCTAAATTTCTTTGCAAAGAATTTTTATCTTAATTACTTCTCATTTGTACTCGTCTTGATTATTCTGGTCATTTGATAAAATTATGTGGAGTTATTCTGTGTTGATTCATTTCATTACTTTGATCATTTGATTAATTATGTGAAATTATTTTGTGTTAACAATGTTGATTTGTCTTACTAAATGACATGGAATTGCTCCGTACATGAATTAATTGAACCCTGTCAATAGCTTGCACCAATATGCCCAGATAAGCAGTTGTGTTTGTGTGAGGTGGGTGAGGCTGGTCACTGGTCATGTACTGAGTATGACCAGGTATTTGGTCCTTTATTATGTGCTGAGTTAATCTATTTGTGCACTTTATTAAATTGCTTAGTAATATCGAATTGTTTGTGCCATGTCATAATTATTGGATCCATGTTGATTTATTCTATATCCGAGTCTTATTATTCTTGTCGTATTATATACTTCCCGAGTTAATTTATTTTTCAAGTATAGAGTAATTTGGCGACAATTGGAGTTGGATCATTTAAAGTGATTATTTGAATTAGAGATTTTGGGGCTCTTACTATATATTATTTTTGGAGACAAGTGTATAAATTATGTTTTGGACACTTTTGTGTAATTATTTTTGGAGACATATTTGTACATTTAAGATTATGAGTTATCTGAAATTGTAATTTGAGGCTTATTTAATTTATTAGTAATCCAAAAGCTTATCTCTCAGGCCACTTTGTAGCATGTGCCTTCTCTCAGCCACAATCCGTGACTTCCCCTAGCCACATTGCAGCTTCTTGCAGTTGCTTTTTTTTTTTTTTTTTGTTGCAACGGCTCGTCTGGTGCATCAGAGCCTTTGTCAACCCCTTCTAGACACATATTGTGACACTTCGCAATTCTTCCTAGGGCATCTCAACACTTCGCGATTGCTCATAGAACCCTCGTAGCTCTCTTAACTTCTCTCTTCATCAATGTTGGTATCTCTCTTTTGAGTTCTCTCTCTCTCTCTCCCTCTCTCTCTCTCTCTCTCCGAATTAACTCTTTCGACCCACTTAGAGTTTGACTTAACTAGTTATTTTGGTTGCCTTTCTATCGTTTGTTCTGTTTGGTTAAGAGACTGACCTTTGTGTTCTGTTGATTGACTTGTTGGATATTTTGGGATGTAATCGGTTCGTAGCATCATAGCTAGTATCATCGCAGCGTTGTTCGCTGCAGTTTGAGTTTCACAACTTCAGTTTTTTGTAGCAGCAATCCTGCTTTAGTTCAACAATCACAATTCGCAGATGTGGATGCCATGCCTTTTTGGGTATTAGGTGCATTTCCACACTATTGTAACAACTCGAGTTGAAACATGTAACACATCACTCTATAGGTCAATGGGATGTGTTTAATTTCATTATTTTGTTATTTGAAATCCTTTGGTTGGCATATCATTATGTCAGTTAAGTGAAATCCGATCTAGACTTTGATGGAGATGTTCATTTGTACTCAGATTTGTTAGAAAAGTAGTTTAGAACTTTGAATTTCTGATCAAGGTGTTGACACTTGCATTTCTTTTATTTTCTTTTGTAGTTTCTACTTTTCGATGTCGACACCACCTCTTCCTAGTGTCAACACTACTTGATCTAAGTGTTCCAGGTGCAACACGCTTGGAGGTGTCAACACCTGGGCCTTCTGGTGTCAACATTTCACTTGTTTTAAACATGCTTAAACATCACTGCTTTAGGATGTCAACACTCCTCCTTGAGGTGTCGACATCTAATAGATCTGTTGTGTATAACAGCCTTTCTTTTTTTGGGTGTGATGTCTCGGGTCTTGGACCCGACTTGAGCGTGCCTTTCAGACTTACTATTTCTCTTTTTTTAGAACTTGGAGTGTTTGTGTTACGTTGGTGTTTGAGAACCAAATTGTAGGCATCGTGCATTTTTCGAGTCTAAGACATTAATTCCCACACCGACTTGTTTTGACACAAAGAGTCGCCACTTAATTTCTAAAAGGGAATTAAGAAACCTTTAACAATGAAAACTAAGTTAAGGCCTAGTCCATCATAACCAAGAAAATTTCGGGTTTGGGAGCATAGGTACAAAAGGGGAAGGCCATTTACATGGAAGCACCCCCTTTTGCCCAATTCAAAAATTGGCCTCTACTCACTTTCTATTTTAAGATTTTAGTGGTTAATCATTCACATAAATTCATTATTAGACCTAAAACCTTTAACTAACCTAAAACTACATGATTTGAAGAAAAATGAACATCATTTATTTAAGATTAAGAGAATACAGCCATATTTTTGTAAAAAAATGATTTTTCATTAAAAAGTGGATTTTATCAATCCATGGTCATAAACCCAATCTAAAATTAACAATATTCATAAAACATCCAAAACATACAATTTGGCACATAAAGAGCATCTAACTTGCATAATTGAAAAACAATGCAAATA